ATTGTCAGGAAGGTGAGCATCAAAGAATGCCGGATTATTAGAACAAAGTGTTCTTGTGTTGAGGGAGTACTTGAGTTTAGGCCCAATGTCCATTTGCTACCTTAATTCTTAACATATAAATATAAGTACATATATCTACTTCCCTCTGGTTATATATAAATATATTTGCATATGTACATGCCTGTATTCAGACCTCTATAAATGCCCTTTGCCTCTTAGTTCTTGCCTCTATTTCCTTTTACTTTCCTCTTGTCCTGCCATCATGTTCCACTTTCATTTGGGTTTAGTAATCACTCGCTGTTACAATGCCCTTGATTAAGCCACACTAGGCATCCTACGCACTTCTCTCCATTGATTTTAGTTTACTTGTTGTTCCCTTGTCCCGGGGTTGGTTGCCCCCTCCCTTCCTTTCTTCCACCTCCCTTTCTATCTCCGGGAACCGTTGGTTCTGTTGTTTTCATCTACGAATTGTTTATCCTGCCTATCTTATCTACAGAGACATCCAGAGACAATAATAAGCACAAAAACCAGGCAAAGCCAAACATTTCAACAAAGGAAGACAAAACCAACAAAACAATAACAAAAACCAAAAACAAAATGACAAAAAAGGAAACGCCTATGAAATAGTTCCAGGTCTGTTTTTTGACTTTAGGAGTGTTTTCCAGTTGAGTCTGATGGTGTGCCACACTCTGTCTCCAAAGTCTATTTTTGATATTCCCCAGGGATTTCATTACTTTGCTTCCCTTGCAGCTCTGTTGCATGCCCTTGGTGTCTCGCCCCAGTGTGATGGGGACAGATTGGGCACAGTTCCCACACTGTGTCTCCGGTGTTGTCTATCCCCCATAGCACTATGATTTGGCGAGGGATGTCGTGTCTCGTGGTGGGAACGGCCCTATGGCCCTCTCTGTACATTGTCTGCTCTGAGCAGGAACATTGTCCTCAGGCTTGGTGGGCCAGGATGTGCTCTCCTCACTCTCCATGCCTCTTCGTTTCTCCTGTGTGCTTGAATCAGATATGTCCCCGCCCCGCCCCCCAGCTGTAGTTTCAGTGCTGTCATCTGAAGTGCATTCTTCTGGCAGGGGGTGGGTGGGGGGTAGGGGGTAGGAGAGGTGGGTTTGAGGGGGGTGGTCCACATAGTTGGGATTGGGTCCGGCCCCACAGACCTCTCTATTGGTTCCCTGGTAACATGCCGGTATGTTGTATTCATGTCTTGGCGCACCAGGTCTACAGATCTTATTTTTAAAAAGCACAGTTACATCTTCAAATTTCTTGAACCTGGAAAAGCAAGGACACCCAGGTTCCAGGGCACATGGTTCCACTCCAAGTCACAATTCTCCTTCATCGGAGAGCACCAATCTCAACCATTCTGGATCTGAAGCACAGCTGGGATGAGAACATAATCGTCCAAGATGATCTGACTGTTGCTCAGCAACTAAGGTTGGAGCCAAAGCACATACCTTTAAGGTAAGGTGACCAGACGTCCCACTTTTGGCGGGACAGTCCTGATTTTTAACAATTTTTCCCGCGTCCCGTGGCATTTTTAAAAAGTCCCGATTTTTGGAAAGAATGCACGACAAGCTAGGGTATGCAGTTTTCTGCTGCCATGTGGCTATTTCGCCAGGATATGAGTTTTATCAATGGTGTCCCGCTTTACCAATGTTAAAAACTGGTCACCTTACTTTAAGGACACCCGGATCAGACATTTCGGCTCTCAACCCACAAGTTCTCAAGAAGTTGATCCTTACTACCATTGTGTGCTTCATCTTTGGTCTTGATTAAGCTTCAGGCCAGTGAGCCAGAGAGCAGTGATAAGAGGTATGCAATGTACCACTGGGATGGTCTTGGCAAGGTACCTCCCACAGACCTTATTGTGTTTACTGTACTTGGAAGTCCTCAGAAATACAAAGGACTCTGGAAGTATCAGAAATGGCAAACAGAGTGGAAAATAGTCTTTTCCTGAAATGTTGCAGATCGGTTACAGCAAACTGAACAGTGACCATAAAGGAAAAAGTTACTCTGGGCTCTTTTTTGGCCACAGCAGCTATGTGGAAGCAACTGCAGCTTTGATAAGAGCCACTTTTTGGGGTTTTATGTTATGAGTTTGTCTACCGTACTTTGTTCTTGTTCTTAAGAATACTGAGGTAATCAGGAGTAAAACTGGTATCTTCAACTTACTCTCAAAAAACGTCATGAAAATAAACACACATACCACCCAAACTCACTGCCATTAAGTCAGTGCCGACTCAGCTCCCCTGTAGGATAGAGTAGAACGTTCCAGTGAGCTTCCGAGACCGTAACTCTTTAGAGGAGTAGAAACCCCTGCCTTTCACCTTCAGAATGGCTGGTGGTTTTGAACTGCTGACTGCACTTAGCAGCACAATCCATAACACTATGCCAGCAGCTCTTCAAAGACACACACACACACACACACACACACACACACACACACACACACGAGAAAACTATAATATAAATGAAATAAAATACTAACAATTGGTGACTTGGGGTAAAGTGTGTATGAGAGTTCATTACATATTCTTGCAAGCTTTCATAAATTTGAAATTATATCAAAACAAAACACTATAAAATCTTCCAAATGCTAACTTATATTTTACTATTGCCCAATTTTTCTATAATGTACACATATGCCTCTTTTAATTAGAGGAGGAAAAACCTACTGGAAAAATAGTAGCAATGACAATCTAAGCTATGTGGAAACTACTACTTTTGTAAGTTTAAAGTTGGTGATAAATTAAAGACAATGCAACAAAGAGACAAGCGCTAACCTCTTCTTTTGGTTCACAGTAAGGAAATATACTAGAAAATGTTGGCATATTACCTCTATAGCGGGTTACAAGTTGCTTAAAATCTAACTGCTGATCCGGAACTTGATCCTGATCCTGGAGGTGAAGGGAGAGCCTCAGGTCTTCCTCCACTTCTTCAAATGCAGTTCTGTTGCGCCTCGCTTTCAGTTTCTCCCTTGCAATCTGCTTCATGGAGCGCCGATAGGGGCTCCCATCCTGTAACATGTACCTGGGGGACGAAAGTAAAGGAATGTGTGTGTGTGTGTGTGTGTGTGTGTGTGTGTGTGTGTGTGTGTAACAAAAGCACTCGCCTATCTTATATGCTTTTTCAGCAGAACGCTACACATGCTATCCTTCCACCAGCAGTACTCTGCCGGCTGTCATTTCTGCTAAGGAACACAAAGATGCTTTTAGTTCTGCCAGTTTGTAAGGGTAGGAGACCAGATAAAAATATGGGGAACCCTACCCAGGAAAAATGGTACAGACATTCATACAATAAATTCATTTGAAACCAGAGTTGTGGAAGGAGGATGAATGGGGTGGGAGGGCTATAAGGGAAGAGAAACTAGAGCATAATTAACATAGATATGGAACATTTAATCTGTCAGTTTCACTACTGGAGCACATTGTAGGCCTTGACTTTTGACTAGGCCAATATGGCAAATCTCAGCACTGACAGAAATTCATGACAAATGTGATTACCATTACACTAGCTACATGGACGCTCATCTCAGCATCAAATGAGAGGGTTGCTCTCACGTTAAGAAAAGACAGCTCTCATTGGACTACTGCCTCATCTCTTGCTGGAGGCATTTTAATACAGTCACATTTATAGCTGATCAGTTGTTAAATGCTGCTGTTCCCAACAGTTCGTTGGGGGGAAAAATGCGTCTTTGCATTCTACTTCAAGGGTCAAGCTGCTGTTTATAAGTGTAGAACACTTGTCACCTTTAACCTCACGGGACCACTAACCACCACCTTTTTCCCCTTGTTTATTTATTTATCCTCCACCCCAACAGTTTTATTGGCACACACTTTACATATCATACAACTGAGTAGTTAAATTGTTCAATTATATCAAGGGGAATTATACAATCACCACATCTATCTTAGAGCATTCCCCACCCCCATGGTTAAATCACCTTCAATATGAGTTGTGCAATCACAATCAGTTCTAGTGCTCCCTTCCCACTCCCCCCTCATTATCCACTCTGGAAATCCCCTTTGCCTACTGCCCATACCCCACCCCTGCATTCCCTATAACACCTTGTATCAGTGATTATCACTATACATCCACTCCTCCTGTGCTTCACAGCTCGGAAAACCAACAGAAAACAATGAAAAACAAATTGCACTAAGATGGTAAGGATAAGATCATATTAGTATAAAGATAAAAATAGAAACGCTGCATGCGAGGGAAAAGACCCCCATCAACATTCAAAAAGCCAGGGAAGAAATTTTTGTCATGGAACAACTAAGAGATACTTGCACCCAGAACAATTTCAGATCGTGCCTTTAGGAAGGTCAACTGGCCAAGTACCTTGTTCGATCTAGCAAAATCGAGAGTCCAATGGTCTCTGCCAGATAGTAAGGTTGTTCGGAACTCTTGTCCTTGGCTAGAGTGGATCTGCCAGTGACTCAGTCTGACTAGATACTCTGCAGGTGGGCTCTCACTGTCCTCTACAGCCTCCCACACATTTAATCACCTTCTTGAGCATGTGTCGACACTGCAGTTCCATGGGATCCTGCCACCTCTATGACGATGTTCTCTCTTACTTCTCTGATTCTGTCAGCTTTGTCAATGTACGGGATCCTTCTGGTTACCTCCTCAGCTAGCATCCCTACTCACTTCATTTTCTTCTTTGGTAATCTCATCCACTCCCATAGTTTCAACTGCCATGCGCAAGCTGCAGACTCCTTTACTGCACCCGTTCTAGACCTAGAGGTCCTGTTGTTGGCTAAACATCTCTGTAGGACTGTTCTTAACCCGCTTCAAAACGCAATTCTGATGGACATAGTATTTGTTAGCAAGAATATCATTAACCAAATCAAACTCACTGCCATCAGGTCAATTCTGATTCACAGTGACTCTATAGAATAGGGTAAAACTGAGACTAACTCTGATATAGGAGTAGAAAGCTTCATCTTTCTCCTTGAAGGGCCTGATGGTTTTGAACTGCTGACCTTACAGTTAGGAGCCTCACACTAACCCACTACGCCACCAGGGATCCCGTATCATTAGATCTGCTAAAAACAAAACAAAACTGACTCGACTTGAATTCTGAGTTTGCCATGAGACTTTTTTTTTTTTTTTTTTTT